CGCCGCGCTATGCCGATGGGCTGTTTGGCGGCACAGCGCGGTAGTCTGGACGCTCGGTGGTCGACATCAAAAGCCTTTTTCGACCACTCCGTTATGCCTTGTGGGATGAGGTTTACTGGGGTGGTCAACAAAGGCTTTTGATGTTGACTGCCGAGCATCGAGTCTACCGCACTGTGCCGCCAAACAACTGATCGGCACAGTGCGGCAGTCATTTTGATGTAAATGAAGCGGCGATTATTTGAATCACCGCTTCATTTTCCTATGTCTAGTAAACTAATCTACATAGCTCCATCGACGGAGCCATGTAGTCCAGATATACCCTTACTGTGCTCAGGACTCTGTAATCTGAGGTAATCTGGACCCAGGCACAATAGGATCTAGACTGGGTTCTGGTGCTGTATCCTCGGATGCACCTTCAAAAGTTAGGTTTTGGGTCTGGAGGCTGTTTGGAGGAACCCAGACTTGAGCAAGAATGGCCTGCCTCTGGGGCCCAGAATGGAAGTGGAAGGTGAGGTGTACTTTGAAGGGCTCCCTCTGGAGCAAGGGATTGTGGATCCCCAGGAATTTTAATGTTGCTCTTAAATCTTTTAGGCTGTGCAAGTGGGAGTCAGTATTCTCGACACAGAGCCCTGCATATCAAAGGGCATATCCTGGATGATATTCTGGATCACTGGGGGTATATCTGAAACATGCAACCAGTCACTGTGCCTCATGATGGCCTTTGAGGCCATGGTATGGGCGGTGGAGTCAGCTGAGTCCATAGTGGTTTGGAGGGATGTTCTGCATACCACCTTGCCCGCCTCAAGAATGGTGAAAACGTGGGATATGAGTCTGGGAGGAGCAATTTTACTATCACTCTCCAGGAATTGAAGGTGTAGCTGCCTGCTGGTTAGCCATGCGGAGCTGGAGCTCCCCCAGTGGAATAAGTCCAGCTTTTTTGCATTCTTTGACTTATGAGCAGGTCTGGGTTGGACCTGCTGCTCCTTGTGTTTAGTTCCCCGTAACCATTAATGTCCCAGGCTGAGGGTGTGTGAAAAGGTGTTTGAAATCTTTCTGGGGCACAAAAAAATCTCCTTTCTATCCTTTTAGTCGTGGGTTTTATGGATGCCAGAGTCTACTAGAACACCTTTGTGGTGATGTGAGTGGTCACAAAGCGACCCTAGAAGGATCCTTTAGGGCAAGAATCTCCACTATTGGGTCACAGTCTTCTGCCACTTCCTTTGCCTGGAGATGTTGAATGTTGTTCACTGTTAGACCAGGACTGAATCCTGCTTACTGGTACACAGGTTCTACACCTGCACCATATCTGTATCACCGTCTATTAGCCAAGTCAAAATAAAAATAGGTGGAACAATGACTGTTTTATTTAACAAAATACTAAACGTAGAAAGCAAGCATAAAATCCAGTTGTCACAAATGAAACCTGGCATGAGGCCAGAACCCAAGATAGGAATGGTGTAAACAATCTTACCACTGTCTCGATGTCTGGAGAAGAGAAGTAGGTGAACCTCTTCAGGCTGAGGAAAAGGAACAAGCAGCGATGGGATGGAGTTGCAGAGACCCAGGTAAGTGGATAGTCTTCTTGCTTCTGGTCTTTTCGTCCATTCTTTTATACTTAACACACTGTCCTGTGTGCAGTGAGCAGACCAGAAGACGAGATGGTATGTAGGTGTGTGTCTGACTGGGCCTGTTGCAGAGTCCTAACTAAAAAATAAATAAACCCTGAGCTAGCACTTGTTACAGCTGTAAAATTGGATTGCTGCACCAGAAAGGGCTGTCAGCAACCAGGCTGGCTTCTGTCCCAGACAGCCTACTAAAACAAACAGCTTGCTAGCTGTTGCTCGAGCACTGCTGGATTGTACCAATGACACGCACACAGAGAATGCTGAGGGGCAGGTGAACACCCCTTATTAACCGTTTGGCTACGTCTAGACTATGATCCTCTTCTGCAAAAGGAAATGCATTTGCATATGTCGTGCTCTCATTTGTATTTCCTCCTCCTTTCCCTTTTGCAAAAACCTCTTGCACAAAAGGGAAAGGAGGAGGAAATGCAAATGAGAGTGACATGTGCAAATGAACGCTCCATTTGCATTTCCTCTTGCGGAAGAGGATTGTAGTCTAGACATAGCCTCTGGTTACCAGGCAGATTAATGTGACCCATTTTCCCCACCTTTCTTCTTTTCCACCTTTCCTCTTTTTCCTGCTCTTTTCTGATGGGAGATGGTGACCAGAAGACTGGCTACCATCTTAAAGAGGAAATCAAAATGCAGGACATAAAGAAAAACCCAGCGCTCCTCCCCCAACATCGCCACTTCCTCTTTAGGTCAGGGATTCTTTTCCCTGTTGGGCATATTTTACCCTCTGGAGAGTACTTCACGCTGAGGTACCTACATTTGTGACAGCTGTTAGGATACTTATCTAGAAATAAATTAAGAAGAAAGGATTTCTGTGCACAGCCTTAAGGAGCAGTTTGTTGTAAACGTATTTGTTCATTGAGTACATTCTTGACTTTCTCTTAGTGTCAAGGAGTATTACCAATTGACATTTCTTTATATGTTTTGTTTGTGTTTTGGGACAGGATCTCATTTAAAGTTAGACCCCTAATAACAGAAACTGAATAGTAGACCTGGGGTTCTTTTTTATGGGAATTTGGTAGAATAAATAGTTTCATGAGACATCTAGGTTCCTGCCATTCCCAATACATGTGAACATAATCCTGCTCTAACAGGGTCTTTTTTTCTGTTTCAGGAACCTCTAAAATTATTTAGTTAGTAATTCTTGAAATCCAGTGTCTAATAAATGGTTCACAATAGAGAAACCTTATAATCCTCTCTCCTTTTCTGTTTGGTCAAAGTTGAGGAAAAAATGTGCAAGAACAGGAGGGAGAGAGGGCGAGAAAAAAGAAAATCCAATAACTATTTAAACAAAATGCTGTAAAATTATGAGTTTGTGAGGTGCCTAAAACTTGTTGGATGTTGTTATTATTAATCTCACACATAAATACCCACCTAGTTTTTGCATTTAATTTCATTGTTTGATTACGCTAATTTGAAAATGCCCCAGTAGTATTTTCATTGCAGTTACTCCTACTGAACTACTAAACCATTTTTAAAGATCAGATTTTGCTTCTGATCAGATCTCCCAAAGCTGGCAACTCATCAGCTGGGCTAGCAGCCCACTACGGTTTCATTTGGACATGTATTTTTAAATAAGGGGGCTGAGACATTCAAATGCTGGGAATCAGGACTCCTGGCTTGAGTTCCCACTTCTGTAGCTGGCTCGCTTACATTGAGCAAGTTACCATGTGCTTCAGTCACATGGTATTAGGTCAATACAGGAATAGCGGGAATAAATGCTATAGCCTGTTATGCAGGAGGCTAGACAAGATGATCTAATGCTCCTTTCTGGCCTTAAAATCTATGAGACTGAGCAAATGCTTAATTTCCCTTGGCCTCCTTCTACTTAGCTATAAAATGGATCTAGTAATGCTTTCTATTGTGAGGCTTAGTTCATGTATTTCAGACATCTGTATTAGTGCTATGGGGAGCGATTGCAAGAACTCCTGGTCTTCTCACTAGCTCCTCACTTCAGTGCGTTGCTTGTGCCCTAGCCAAGAGCAGCTAAGGAAAGGGTGCAAGATCCCAAAGTACTCTAATTATTTGTGCTTCATTCCTAGTAGCAGATGTGGGGGGACATCTTTTCATTTTTTCTGTGTTAGTCAAGAGATAGGTCTTGTCTTGAACCTGCCTCTCATCTGTTCAGATCTTTTGATGTTTGTGTGCTTATGTCCAAACAGCTGTAGAACAAGTGGTTTGATTCTCTGGTGACTTACCTCAAGTTTAATTAATGGTTAAAATCAAGTTAATGTGAGCCTCTTTAAACACTTCCTTTAATGTGTTCTCAGGCCAATGAAAACTGGGACCTCTTTCTCCCTTTTCCAAGCAGAGCTACAAGGCAATTAATTCCAACGTAAGTACTTGGTTTCTCCTCTTTGCCTTGACTGTCGCATTACATTGCTTTCCCTGGTTCTTTGGCCAAGCCTAATAGAATTCCTTATCATCGTTAGAAACCCTCGTCTTAATTGCTGTACTCTGCATGAGCCCTTTCTGCAGCCACTGTGCTCCTCAATAATGCAAATGAATCTCCCTTTTAGATGTTTTCATGTTGCCTGCTTGCTCCTTCAGCTGTTAGGTGGCCAACCTGAGGCATGTGAGTCTAACAAATCACCAGCATTGCTGTCCATCCACAGCTCCAATTTAAATCAGTGGGAGCTGCAGATGCTCACCTAGATGTCTCAAGTTAGACACACACAAACGAGTGGGCAGTTATGAAAACTGTCTGCATCTAAATTTCTAAGGGAATTCCACCTCACAAGATTTGATACCTGCTTGAGAATCCCAAGAAGCCTACAAAAGTCATCTACTATTTTTTCAGTTTTTGATGACTGTTTTGCAAAGAACATCCCATAAGAGTGCTACCCAGCCTATGCATAGGGATTCAAGTGAAAGTGACGTGGCAGACCATCAGCTGTCTGCCCTTATGTGATCAGATAAAAATTAGTCACATGATACTTTGAATTAGTACCTGAAATTGTATTCTGAATTATTACTGCAATTAAAAAGCTTAGGTGCTGAGTTGCAGGATACTCCTCTTACAGCCAAAAAACATTTTCCAAAAGGATAACACATAGTCAGTGTTGCAATGTTTAAAACAGCATTCATTCATTCTCTCTTGAGGCTTCACTGAAGAATACAGCAAGTGGTAGCTAGAGTACATGATCAAAGCTCTACTGAAGTGAAGTCCCTAATCTCTACGCTGTTCTGACATGTAAATCAAAATGAAATGCATGGGGCAAATAAACCTTTCAGCATCTATTTTAGCTAGACTTTGCCTTTCTGCCATTTTCCATGCCAGACATGAGATGCAGTGTACTCCCAGGATTAGCTTTTTCCCAGTGGACTGATTTTACATATCACTGAATGACCCCCAGAAAAGCACATTGTACTAGCTTGTCACATGTGACAGAAACTGCTGGCTTTTCTTTTGACAACATGAAACATTTGCACTTTCAGCATTTTCACACAGTGCTGTACATGTTAGCAAGTGTACATGTAAGTTTCATAAACTGAGCTATTCTTTTTTTAAAATTCGACTTTCCATACAGCTGAACAAGTGACTGAATCAACTAAACAATAAGACAGAGCACATGAAAATTTTGGTCCTGCTGTTCATGCATGGTAAGTAAAATTAAATGTATAATTGACTGGGAGTTGTTGATTGCAATAAATTTCTACAGCATGCTATTTGGTGAATAGCTGTGAAAATACCAAACTTTTTGAATTCTCATGGATTATGTAAATAAAATGATAGTTTTCCCTTCATATTTAATTTGCATTAATTATAGTAGCTATAATTTAATGCTATGGGAAAATGGAAAGATTTTAAAAATGTATGCTAATGTGACTGCTAAACATTTCTGCCTGCTGCTAGGCTGAAAAGAAGTCTAGTTCATTTAGTATAAACATAGACTATCTACTTTTTGTGATAAGTTAGAACAGCTAATTACAGTGTGCAGATATTTATTTAGTCATATATAATTTGCTCTTAGACAAAGGGTATTTTAGGCATCTCTTAGTGGATGTCCATTTGTTGATAATCTAGCTATAGTTGAAAGCAAAAGGTTCTCACATATAATTTAAAGTATGACTTGCTTAAAGGCAGAACATAGTCTTCAATCACATAATAGGAGAATTAGATTTCTATTGAACTTAGACCACCTGGTGTCTCACACTTTATGCCAGTGTAGTTGAAATTTGCATATATTTTCAATGCGTGTAACCTTTATTTGCAGTAAGAAAGAATGGTGGAAGACTCGGACAACCTCAAAGACTCTGGAAGTCCAAGGACAAGGACAGAAACACCTGTCAGGAGAAAGAACAGATTTATTAGTAAGTCTCCCAAAGAGATGAAAACAGTTGTTGCCAAGTGTAATTCTGCTGAACATCATCAGCTTGTCACATAATGTTAACTAGCCCTGATCCTGAACTGAAGTAATCCCTCTGCCACTTTAAATTAATCAGCAATCTCTGCAATTTCGTCTATCCACTGATAGCTGCAGAACTGTGTAAGACAGATATTTTTCTCAGATATTTGTTCATTATTCAGCAGCATGAAATGACTGCCTGTCTAAAATGCTGCCTAGCAACTGACTCTGTCTTCCAAATATGCCCTTCTACTGTTTTCTTAAACATGATTATTCTGCCTCTCGTGAAGCAGTTTCAGGTCAGAAAGATGATGGGTGGGCCTACAGAAGTGACACCTAAATGTGAAAATGAAGTCAAGATTCCAAGGATGAGAAGTATAACTCAGTCACCCCCTCCACCTGCAGACACTGATGGGAAATATGGCAGCACTTTTTATAAATTGAGCTGTATAAAGAGTGAAGCTGATATAAGGAAGATTAAAACACATAAATGGCCATCAGGAAGATATCTTAGACTGAATGGCTAAGGGCTGGATATTCCATTGCCTTGTACTTCATACAGGCAGTTCTATCTGTGGACACTGGGTATAAAACACTCCCAAATCAGAACGATCACATTCTGTCCTCATCTTGCACCAGTGACTGCACAACATGCTAGAGAAAGGAGAATCGGGCACTATGATTTCAGCCAGTATATAGGTAAGGGATACAGTTCCCCAGACAGGTTGTCAAAGCAAAAGCCTCACTCAGTTTACGCAGCTAAACAGACAGTTTTATTGGCCAATAAAAGCAAGGTGAGCCAAACGTGGTCCCAGCAGAGCCGGGCCCAGTGAGGCTGGCTAATACAATCAATCCTAGTATCTTTATACCCTTAGCCAAACAGTCTGACGTCAGGGCATCCAATTACAGAAATCCTCAATTAAACTTGGAAAAATAAAGCCTTATCAGCAAGACGGTGGACAGGTACGAGGGAGTACATCTCCTGTCCCAACCAGGCCAATTAACACATACCAATAGCCCATCCTGTAGGCCTCTTCTCATGGGGTGACAGAAAGTTCACTCTGGTCTACATGCTTGAGAGAAAAGCTGAAATGGTTTCTGGTATACAAGATGGCTTCTTGCTAAATATGAAATGGTTTCTACAGTTTCTACAAGGTCAATTAGAATAAAAGCTGCACAATGATATCTAGTATTTTTTGAAAATAAATATACAAAACTTCAGTTTAAAAAATGCCTTTTGAGTTTGTTCCTTAGTTGATTGTAGGTACAAAATTCCAGACATCATGAAAATCAAAGGAAAAATTCTTATTGATTTCATTGTTAGTAGGCTTCATCTACCAGGCCTCTAGTATGCACCTACAATATTGCACTCTCAATTAATGCAGGAGCAAGTGGCTGGCACTTAGCTAGGGTTGCCAACTCAGAAAAACTAGAGGGACCGGATGCCATTGTCACAAATGGTATCCAGTCAAACCCATCCAGGAGAGTTGGCAACCCTATGAACTGCAGGAGAAAATACAGAATTTAAACACCTGACTGCAGGGGACAGATGGAAACAGAGTTAACTAGAAAAAAGGTCTAAATGCCAGCCACTTGTTCCCATATTAATTGTGAGTGCAATATTGTGGGTGCAAATTAGAGGCCTGATAGAGCCTACTATTAAAAAGAAGCCCTTTGATGTTAAAAGCTTGAGAATTACCAGTTAATCCCATAGCTCTTACAGCCAAACAAAATCTTTTCTGAAAGTACAATACATAGCCATTTAATCTCAATAAAGCAAATTACACACTAATTAGACCCTACGTTGAAAAGAACATCATTTCCCATTTTTACTGACTTGGTCCAGCATGATGTCATTTACTCATCTCTCTGCTTTGCTCCATCGCTTTTTTTCTTTATTCCATTTAACAATCTGATGTGGTGTTTGTACAACTGTGCTCCTGCTTCTGAGAATTAAGAGACGTTATTCTGGTTTCTATCTTGGGATATCGTGAATGAAATCCTGGCCACAGTGAAATCAATCAAAAGTTTTACCTTTGACTTCCATGAGGACAGAATTTCATCCCTTTTTTCTGTGAATGTGTCTAGTGAGAGTGTGACTTCTTTTCGGAGAAAAATATTTTCTTTCGTGGTACAGGCTACATCAATCACATACAGATGCACATGCGCACACACACACTTGAAAGTAAATGGTATTGGTTTCTATGTATGTGTTTCAGATGCAGTGCTGAGTTACCTCACGGGTCCAAGATTTCTGGTTTATGCAAGCTGTGCACTTTCTATATGGGTAAGATATGCTCCGATAAAATTATTGCATTCTAAATGACCAAGGGAAGCGTGATTTGAGAAGCATTCATATTTATGGAAACCCTGTAATTTATCCAAAAACAAATATTTAGAAATGGATCAAACTTAAATCTTCAGTATTCACACTGTCCCATTTCCTGTACTTGCATTGATTTAGTCCATGGTATAGCTTTGTTTTATGAGGCTAAAATAAAAATACAGTTTTGTGTCTTCTATCTTTCAGGGTGATCGAATGTGGCATTTTGCCATGTCCGTATTCCTGATAGAATTGTATGGACATAATCTCCTTCTAACAGCTGTTTTTGGGTTAGTGGTGGCTGGCTCTGTACTAGTGTTTGGGGCTTTAATTGGAGATTGGATTGATAGAAAACCAAGAAATAAAGGTAATTCTCTGTATTGATTTTGATGTTCTTAAGTAGGAGATATAAAGCCTTGAATACAATTACTATCCTGTGATTCAATAATGCTTATAGTGCTAATCTTCAGAGTGCTTTTAAAATATTAATAATTTCTTGCACCACTCCAATGGAGGGAAGAATTATATCATCCTAACTGAACAGAGAAACAAAGAGAGATTAAGGGTAAAACAGTGCTTAAGTGATAAAGGAGCATCAAGCCAAGGTGACTTTCCCAAGGCCATAGAAGAAGAGCTGGGAGTAGGAGTGCCTTGCCATATTATGCCTCTCATAATTTACATGATGTTAAATAATGTTCCTTATAATTCAAAATCTTCATTCCAATTAGGAACTTTTGTGAAATGAAAATTCCAACCCCCCTGATTTGTAGGTATCAAAACATTTATTTTGATATCAAATAGCTTCATTTAATCATGTTGGAAAATGATATAATGTAAAATATGAAATATAATATTAAAGTCCTAATGAATTAAAATAACAAAGCTTAAATGAAATGATTTTACCTTATTGAAACTAAACATTTTGTTATCAAAACAAAATGAGGAAAATTGTTTTTATTGTCTCCTGTTGAAAATTTTGGTTAATTCAACACATACCCACTGAAAGTTTCAATTTCCAGAAAAGTGTATTTTCTTATGAAAATTGTTCTACTGAAAAACTTGCAACCAGCTATACTTATAGCATTGACCTTGAGTTAGTTCACTGAACATGCATATGCCTTTTATAGACAATTCTAACATCCATTAAGTCCTATCCACTGTTGGGTTTTTTTATATTAAATGCTGTATCTTTAAAATGTGTGTACTTTGGCTCAAACTGTACAACACACACATCCAGCAGAGGGTTCACCTGAGTAGGGAAATGCTCTGGTGACACATATCGCCTATAACATTTCCTAACCATCTCTCAGCTTCTCTTGCCCCCTCCCTTTTGAGTAGTGGTGAGCAGAGCCTGGACCCAGTCAGGATCTGGCCTCTCATATTCAAGGAGAGCATAAGCCCGTAATGGATTAGTGCGACTGATTTGCATGAACTTTGGAATACATCCATGTAAGGCAGATTTATTTTTGCAACACGGCTTGGAACTAATCCAGTCAAATACATATCCAGCCTTTTGGCAGGTAACAAAGTGAGTGCTCCCTTACTTCTCAGTTAACCCAGAAAAGACAAACTTCCTTGTCTTCGTAGTAGCATTTTCCTCACCCATAGCTGGCAATCTAGCACCTGACCTCTGGAGAGTTGACACCGTAGAGTATATCTACACTGCAATTTGACCTGCATGGCTGGCCAATGCGAGCTGGCTCAGGCTTGTGGGGCTCAGGTTGCAGCCCGAACTCTAGGACCTTCCCACCTCACAGGGTCCTAGAACCGGGGCTCAAGCTTGAGCCCAAATGTCTACACTGCAATTAACCCCATAAGCCTATGAGCCTGAGTTGGCTCACATGGGCCAGCCACGGGTCTTTGATTACAGTGTGGAGATACCCTCTCAGCAGCGGATCTCAGACTATGGAGCAGGCTTCCCAAGGGACATGTGGGAATGTGTCAAGGGAGGCATGAACTGTATGGGGATTTTTTTAAAGATCTCTGGCTGTCCGCCCTGGTGCCTGGGGTTCATACAGAGGGGCCTTGCACACCTGGGAGACAGGGATAAAGAGGACAACTGGAGCCCTTCTGGCCCAGGGCCGACAACTGGAGCCCTGCCACTCAGACTTTGGCTTTGTTCCTTCTTCCCTCCCCCCAGTTCCTCACTGGGAGGCAGCCGGGGCTCTATCTCTCTTCCTACTCCCTTCTCTACCCCCCAGTCATCTCCACCTAGAGTCAGCAGTGCTCCGCTCCAGCTATCAGCCCCAATGTGGCAACAACAGCACAGACGTAAGGGTGGCACTAAGTCTGCTTTGAAAAGTGACATTGAGAAATGTCACTTTTCACGTTGCCACCTTTATTTTTGAGCTGCTGCTGACATGACAATGCCTTCAGAGCTGAGCGTCCAGTCAGCAGCCACTGCTCTCTGCTCTGTCTTTGGGGGTGAGGGGCATATTATGTACTTATGGAGGGACACAAACAATTACTGTCACAAAGGGGGGCCCAATCAAATACGTTTGAGAACTACTGCCTTAGTCTGATTTATGGACAGACACCTAATCAGACTTCCATTTTTGCATCACAGATTTACACTGGCACTTATTTGTGTGTATAACTAGTCTGCCTTTGAAGCCTAACTACTTGATTGTATTGGGATCTCCGCTTTCCAACTAAAAGTCATTTATTAAAGGTACAAGAGTTGCAGACTCAAAAAGAAGGAAAAAAGAAAGCTAGATGGATTCATGAAGGTTAGGTCCATCAATGGCTATTAGCCAGGATGGGTAGCAATGGCGTCCCTAGCTTCTGTTTGTCTGGAGGTGGGTGACAGGGGAGGGATCATGTGAGGATTACCTGTTGTGATCCCTCCCTCTGAGGCATCAGGTATTGACCACTGTCAGCAGACAGGATACCAGGCTAGATGGACCTTTGGTCTAACCCAGTATGGCCATTCTTCTGTTTTAAATATGGCCTTTTGCCAGAAGATAACCCATCATTCATGATTGCTAGCTCCCATAATGAAGCAAGATAAGAGAGGCAACACAAGAGGCTAATGGAGAAAGCACTTACTGAGACTCAGGAAAACTGATTTCTGTACCACTGACCTGCGGTGAGAGTTTGGGCAACACACTTCACTGCTCTTTCTCTCAGGTTTTCCCTCTGATCTGATGTCTGTCTTGTCTATTTATATTGTGTATGTTTGGGGCAGGGACTATCTGTTCCTTTGTGACTATACGATGGTCTAGCACAGTGTGTGGCCTGATCATGGTTGAGGCCTGTAGGTGAATACTAAAATACGATAATAAATAATAGCAAACTGTGGTAAATGAACTGTAAAGTAGAACTTATTTAAAAATTCATTTTGACCTGCTGCTGATATAGTTCTTTCCTCCATGAAACAATCGACAATTTTACACATCTCATCCTCTTTTCTTTTATTGCTGGTGAGTGTTGGGTTGTTTTGTCTTTCATTTATATTAGTGTCAGTAGGGAGGATGAGGTATTGTTTTCCTTATTAGAAAAGTCTGTTCAGGTGGCTTGCTAGGGTTTTGTCAGAGTGTTTGCATCAAGTGACAGAATTGGTGGGACTCCTTTTAAATGGAGCAGGTACGTATCACATCAAGAGTTGTTTCATTTTGCAGTTGCTCATGCATCACTGTTCATTCAGAACTCCTCTGTCACGGCCTGCTGCGTAGTACTGATGTTGGTGTTCTCTTACAAAACCGAGATGGAACAAATGTGGCACGGCTGGTTTACAGTAAGTGTATTGGCCTGTTTCTGTCACAGATAAATTGTACTTTGGCTATTTCAGCCTGGGGTTCTTTGGGTAGGTTAGCAATACGTGTAAAATTTTCACAAGAGACAGTTTGTGGACCAGTCTCTGTGCTCTGGCTGCTCTACCAGCAAAGCAGCCAAAAACCCTGTGGCTACCTATGCCAGCTATCTCCCAGAGTGGGTCCCATGCTGGGGAAGAGCCAATGAAACAGCTCTTCCTAATCCTCCATCTCATTCCTCCTGCGCCCTGGGCTGTAAGGAGTGGAGGTGGTGTTTCCATGCATCCTGATGCACCCCTGCAGTCATATTGGCCTTTTGGAGCTGGTGGCAGCCAGGGCAAGTTAAAGCAGCCCTCAGGGTGACCGGCCTGCTCCACGAGTTGGGGGCTTAAACCCACTCTTGCACCTGCTCCCCATCCTTTAACACGCTGCATTTCTTGGCCGTAGCTGAGCATTGGAGCCTTGGTGTATGGAGCTTCTTCACCATGTTTCCCACAAGTGCTTACCTTTGATTTGAGGCAAAGCCTATATTGTCACCTGGGGATAGAATGGCAGAGTATCAGATTTAGGGACAACTTTGCCCCTCTGTTAATCTAGAGTGACTCCACTGAAGGCAATGGGATCACCTTGGCTTTTGGGAGGTTTAACGGAGAACTGAATCTGGCTCCTAGTGTTAATGGAGAAGAAGCCCTCAGCTGCTCAAAGTAACACAAATGTACTCATTCCAGTGAATAACACACCTGTCTCTGAAAGCTTCCATCTTTATTGAGACTTTGCATAATGTTGCCAGCCAGCAATAGCTGACTAACCTTGATTCCTGGATCACAACCTCTGGTTTTTATTCCCTTCCAACAAGGTTTTCTGTTATGCAGTGGTAATCATCTTAGCTGACCTGGCAAACCTGGCGAGCACAGCGCTGACAATAACCATTCAGAAAGACTGGATTGTGGTCATCACGGGTGAAAACCGAGGCCAGCTGGCTGGTGAGCTAGACGTAGTCTATGTCCATTTACATGGGAGCCACAGCTGAATATTTATTAAATAGAAGAAATGTAATTTCATTCCTTAATAAGAGTCTGAGAAAAGTCAATAGAGCAGTGTTAAATGCAATAGCTAATGCTCACCCTCCACCAAGAGGAAAGCTTTGTAACATGCAGGTGTTACAAAGATGTGAGGTTCTTACCCCTTTCTGGTTGATCAGATAAAGAACAGAGCTGTGCTCATTATTTAATAACTAGCCAATTAGCCCGTCATAAGACAGGATTTTCGGATCTCTTCTCCACTTCCTATTCCCTTTCTATCTTGGTCTTCTCTCCTGAGCCTCCGGTCTCTCTACGTCTCTCGTGCTCTCTCCTGCTCCTACTCTCTCTTTCTCTTCTCCTCCCCCTCCTGCCTCTCACTAGGGGGACCACAGAGCCCAAACGGACATTTGGGCTCCATGCTCCCCGTGCTGCATGAGGAGCACGAAGCCCAAATGGTCACTTGTGCCACTTGCTCCCGTGTGGCTGCCCAGCTGAGCAGTGCAGAAGTCAGCCGAGCGCCACTGCGGGAAGCCAAGGGAGGCAGGGCAGTGACATTCATGTCCAGGGGGCGGGGCGTGGAGCTGCTGTCACGCCGAACATCACCGCCCTGCCCCTCTTTACCTCCTGCCGTACCACTCGGCTGACTTCTGCGCCACTCATCCAGGCCCCCGTGGGGGAGCAAGTGGTGCAAGCAGCCGTTTGGGCCCCGCACTCCCCATGCAGCACAGGAGATGAGCTTCTGTTAACACTAAATACACCAAGTAAAAGTAGCAAAGTCATTTCAGGTAAAGTGACTGTTGAGACTTGACAACACCTTTCTATGTGGAAACCTACATGTCACAACAGGTTGGCGACACTTGTCTTCTGCTTTGGGAGACCTGAGTCAAATTCTGACACAAATCATAAACGAAAGGACACAACCAGGTCTCTGTGTACCGCACACCACCACCACATACCACAGATAAGCTCTCTTGGAAGCCTCTCTAGCGCAGCAGAATGGGTTCTTGTAAATCTAGATTCAAGTGCATTGCCAAAGCCAAGCAAGGAAGCACACACAGCTCTCCATGCTATCCCTGACTCAGACCATTCTTGTTAGTTCCTGGCTTTCCTGAACACATCTTTACCTGTCCAGTCGACCATCCAATCACTGATTTTTCATGTGGTTCTGTAAAATATCTTACTCCTCCTTCAATAATTTAAGTGATAAATCGTTGTTAATATTGTGGGTTGTATTACACTTAGGGGGCCCTGAGTGAAATGCAGTTGCTATAGGATGGGACAATCCCTGGCTGTAGCTCTTTGTGTCAGGCAAAGAAAGGGTGGGAAAGTTATCCCATTTGTATAATTGCATGCATGTGTATGTGTATATATACCTAGAGTGAAATGCATTCTGTTTTTACACCATGTCTAGGAATGAATGCAGCTATAAGAAGAATGGATCAAGTCATAAATATCTTCGCTCCTTTGTCTGTGGGGCAGGTTATGACCTGGGCCTCTAATGTCATTGGCTGCGGATTTATTCTTGGATGGAACTTGATCTCTCTTCTGGTAGAATTTATATTCCTCTCCAGGGTGTATCAGCTAGTGCCTCCGTTGGCTGTAAAACCTCAGCAGAATGTAGGAGGATATGTGATAGAAAGACATATTGAACTTACAAATGTGCCAGGTAAGTAGGGTTCAAAAGGAGAACAACCTCCCACCAACACTTACAACATTTATTACTATTGAAACACAAGCTTCCATATAAAATGTTGAATTACACATTAAATAATTAGAATACCAGAAGGTATCCAATGAGTCAATTCACAGGAACTCTATGAAGAGTAATAAAATGACTATCGAAAGAGAAAAGCCAAGTAGCAAATATGTTGGAATTAATTTTCCAAATTCATGTTCTAGGGTGATTTTCCATACACAACTTGCAATGGCTTTAAAGGAGAGTTATTGGTGGAAATCTCTCATGTGGGTGGGAGAATAACAGATCCTTAATTGTTTAATGCCTTACCATGCAGATTTAAAGATGGTTTAAATTAATCCATTTGTGTCTTCATTATGTGCTCCTTGGTACAGAGCACTATCTTGCAGCATGTCACTGAACCACTACATCTGAAACCCATTTAGAATGATGGTTGTCATAGCAATACAAGATGCTAAAAGAAAAGAAGTCAGCGAAGAATGGTTAAATGCATGTAGTCCCTAATATTCAGTTTAGTTTTGCTACTGTCTTTAAAAAAGACATGGTATCCCCAGTGACCATATTCCTATTTCAGTGGTTCTCCATGGGATCAATTCTTACCTAATTGCATATGGCCATCTCCTAATAATGAAAATGGAAATTATGCATTGGTACCATCGCCTATTTTTTTTTACCTGAGCTGCTCATCAAAGTTGGGGCCCTTCAGATATTCTAGTTGGAGGGAGAAACTTGGTGACAGTCAGATATCTCTTGGATTCAGTTTTGTTTATATACAAAGTCCTGGATCTCTGAACACAGGAGGAATCTAACAAAAGGATCGATTTTTTTTTTTTAACTTAGAGAGTTTAAGTTTCTTTAGCCAACACACAATCCAAAAGCGTGCTTTCTAGTATCTTCCAGGGTCACATAGTGCTTACAAGCTCCTGCTTGGCTTTCTTTGCCTCTTTTCCTCTGCCTCTTTGTTCTTGTCTGTCATATGAATAATTTCAATGGCAGTGTTTTTTCCTTATAGTCTTGTACACGTACCCCAAAGTAAACTTTGCCCAAAAGCTCCTCCGCAGTTTCAGTGGGGTTTATGTTCACAGTGATGTTAATTGAAAGATAAGTTCACATTGATCAACCTCGGTGAGGTTTTAACCCACTCATAAGGTCTTTACCCAGCTCATAAAAGTACTAACTGGAGATTAGATCATTTATGACAACAAGAGAACTCCCCTGACGTCGACCTTACTCCTTGGAGATGAGTACTAATTAGTACTAATCATCAGATGCAGTATCAATGGGGAGGAGTCTGTCCCAGCAGTTAGTGTAGGGCAGAGGTGGGCAAAAGGGCCTCCGTGGGCAGGATCCGGCCCGCCAAGTGGGCGGATCTGGCCCATGGAAGCCCTGCTGCTCCCCCACACCCAGGCCTTAATTGGCGTGTGAAGCCTCCTCCTGCCCTGCCAGGAGCACATGGCACTTTGAAGCACCATGCACTGCTCGCAGGGCAGGGGGGAGAGTGGAGAAGGCTTTGCCAGCTCCTCCGCCCCCAGGCCAATCAGGGCCTGGGGATGGGGGAGCTGGGTGAAGCTTCCTTCGCCCTGCCCCAGCCCTGTGAGGAACCCGTGGCATTTTGAAGTGCCACATGCTCCTGGCAGGGTGGGAGGAGGCTTCACGTGTTCCTCCGCCCCCAGACCCTGATTGGCCTGGGGGTGAGGGAGCGTGCCAAACCTCTTCCAGGGTATGGGTGCCTAGTGGGAAGTGGAGGGGGGGGGGAGAAAAGGGGCCAATCATGGTCTGGGGGTAGGGTAGCCCTGTTCCTTCTTGTTTAGGCCTGCCCCTTCCGGGGTGGCCCGGGGCAACTTACAAAATTTTTAAAGTGGCCCCAGGGCAAAAATTATTGCCCACCCCTGGTGTAGGGACATAATACTTCAGGATCATAGAATCATAGTGCTGGAAAAGACCTCAGAAGGTCATCAAGTCCAGCCCCCTGCTCTAGGCAGGACCAATCCCAATGTTTTTAGACATTTTAAGAAAAGGCAGTGAAGTCACAAATTACACTACAATCTTAAGTCAATCTACCTATGTCAGGGCCACACTCACCTCCTTCTGTTGGTGGCATGTGTCCTCACAAGAGTGCTTCCACTAAATGAAGAGGAGCAGTGTGTGTGTGTGAGGGGGGCTGGGATCCAGGGCTCAGCTCCATGCATCTCTCTTCAGGGAGCTCAGCTGCCCCTCAGGCTTCTCACGTCCCAACTCCCAGCTGGAAACTGGAGGAAGTTGCCTGGGGCTTCTCACCTCCGGTAGGGAGTTCTATACCTAGAGTCCAATGGGATGCATTGCTCTCAGCACAAAGCCTAGGCTTTAGTTCAAGCTGGGAGCCTGGGTAGCAGCAGCCAGGCTTGGAGCCTAGACCCTGCCGCAGCCTTGCCGAAGAGCCAGCTTTCTCATCAGTTTCTCCAGCGGAGCCATGAAATTGACAAGACAGCAAACAGCTGATGTAAGAAGGGCAGTGTCTACACAGACATGGTATTGCCCTAACTACACTTACATTTACCCTGCATCTCTTGTGGAGGTGGAGTTACTGTGCTAGTGCACTCGAGCACTTACATAAGTGGGAGCAAGGCTGTAGTGTAGACACTGACATAGTTGGATCAAGATAAGCTGTCTCATGTTGACCTAACTCTGCAGTGCAGTCTCAATCATGATTTGTTTGTTAGAAAATTGGTGCGATGATGATTAGTTAAAATCTGTTAGATGCTAAGCTGTGCTCCCCAAGCCCTTGCATATGATATTCAGGCTAACTTGTTCATCCCGCCAAAGAAAAGTATCTTGTGCAGTTGTTCACTCCCTTCATCCATTATTGATCAGTGGGGCTGCCAGTGGCTGGGAAGTGCTGGGGGAGGAGGCACTTATAAGGGAGCTGCTGGTAGGTGCTCAGCACCCACCATGCTTTTCTGTGAGTGTTCCAGAGCTGGAGCTCCCACAGAGTCAGCACCAATGACCTCCTCTTGGAAAGGTGGATTAACTATCTCGACAGACACAGCCCTGGGTCTAACTATTAGAACATGCTCCCCTACAAAACATGAAACTGAACACAACAGCCCAAACCTCTACGTTATTCTGTTTTCACCAAGTAGCTGTGAACCCCATTGGCAAAATGTGTGTGTCTCATTGCCCGCTTTGCCTAATTCACATAGAGGATAATAGCCTACTTTGGCTACTAGTTAGTCTATTGGCTCAAGTGGCAGAGTTCTATGTAGTGGGTTTAAAGGTTCAAATCATGCTGCTGATCCAAACTGGATTTTGGGGAATCTAGTGGATATAGTGTACCTAGATTTTCAGACAGCCTTTTTACAAGGTCCCTCACCAAAGTCTTTTAAGCAAAGTAAGCTGCTATGAGATAAGAGGAAAGGTCTCTCATGGACTGGTAATGGGTTAAAAGATAGGAAACAAAGGGTAGATATAAATGTTCAGATTTCAGGATGGAGAGAAGTAATAGTGGTGTCCCTTAAGAGTCTGTATTAGGATCAGTGTTACTCAACGTATTTATAAATGATCTGACAGAAGGGCCTTGGAGTGAGGTGGCAAATTTTGCAGATGATGGAAAACTACACAAGATAGGTAGGCTCTGGGCAGACTGCAAAGAACAGCAAAAGAACCTTTCAAAACTATGTGACAGGGCAACAAAATGGCAGATGAAATTTACTGTTGATAAATATGAAATAATATGCATTGGAACATATAATCCTAACTATACATATCAAATGATGGGGACCAAATTAGCTGTTATCACTTGAGAGAGAAAAATCTTAGTTAGCATCAATGTAGGTAGTTCTCTGCAAACATCCACTCAGTGTGCAGTAGCAATTGAAAAAGCAAACAGAATGTTGGGAATCATTAAGAAAGGGCTAGAGAATAAGACAGAAAATATCATCTTGCCTCTATATAAATTAATGGTACAGCCACATCTTGAGTAGTGCATGCAAATATGGTTACCCCTCTCAAAAAAGATATATCGGAAAAGATTCAGAAAAGGGCAACAAAAATGATTAGGGGTATGGAATGGCTTCCATAGGAGGAGAGATTAATAAGACTTGGACTTTTCAGCTTCGAAAAGAGATGACAAAGGGGAAGGATATGATTTGAGGTCTATGACTGATGTAGAGAAAGTAGATAAGGGAATGCTATTTATTGCTTCTCATAAGAACTAGGGGTCACCAAATGAAATTAATGGGCAGCAGGTTGAAAAGAAACAAAAGCAAGTATTTCTTCACACAGCACACAGTCAACTAGTGGAACACTTTGCCAGAAGATGTTGCGAAGGCCAAGATTATAACAGGCTCAAAAAAGATTTAGATAAAATCAAGGAGGGTGGATCTATCAATGGCTGCTCGCCGGGATGGTGTCTCCAGCCTTTGTTTGCCAGAAACTGAGGATGAGCGACAGGATGGATCACTTGATGATTACTTGTTCTGTTTATTTACTCTGTTGCACTTGGCAGTGGCCACTGTTGGAAGACAGGATACTGGGCTAGATGGACCTTTGGTATGACCCAGTATAGTTGTTCTTATGTGCTTCCACATGATAGAATTTCAGTGTTTAGGTTCTGGACATTACATTAAAAATAAACTACATTAGCAGTATGCTACAGTTTTACAGTTGAGCATACATTAGGAAATTCCATAATTAAAGTTACCTTTGCAATCTTAATTTGACTGTTTTGTGTGTGTACATTATGATACCGTCTTTAGTTGCAAGATCATTTGCTATTTTCCCCCCCCTGGGGACTTGTTCCTTATTCAGTGCTCAGGACAGATGGTACTCTGGGGGAAAAATCATGGAATGTAGTGAATGTAGGGGGCTTTTGTCTGTTGCACCCCTGCCTCATTTATTGTAGAAATTGGAAGGTATTTTGTGAATGAGACAGGGATTATCTGGAGAAGAAAACATGGCTTTACCTATCCAATTGCCCATCCTCCTGGTAGCTCTTCATTGCCCCCTCTGCTCCACCTCCAATGCATAGGCTCCATTCCTACCCCTTCGTTCCACTCCATCTTGGTTAAGACAAATGGAGAACTGGATTCCATCCCTGTCTCTGCCTCAGAATTCCCATGCATGCTGGACAAGTCACTTACATCAAAATGTTCACAGGTAACCACTATGTTTCTTGGATGTCCAGAACCTGAAACCAAGTTTGCAGAAGTGTGGATCATTCACTACTGCAACCAAGGTCAAATGAGTCTATGCTTTGAATATGTTAAAGTACTCAGAAAAATTGTGACCCAATTGTTTCAAAATGGACACCCAAAATAGTAGATAATCTAGGCAATTTTGGCCTTAATCTCATTGTGTCTCAGTTCCCCATCTGTAAAATGAGGATAATGAGACCTCTTAATCTCATGTGGTTCCTGCAAACATAAAATAATTCATGTTATGTGGAGCACTCAGATATTACAATGAAAGCATTCCAGACACATCCATGAGGAAATTAATAATTTTGTATTCAGTCCAGGATTTGGATGCTCTATTTTAATTAAGTCCTTGGACCACACATTGAACCAAAAGGATAAAAAAGAAATATTGAATAAATGCCCATTTATTGAATAAGGTACTGGACCTTGTGGAAAAAATAGTATGTGATCATGTAATTAACGACTGTATCAAAATGCATACACACAAGGGGATTGAATTAAGGTTGCACTGAAAACTTTCATTTGGCATTTCCTAACTTTTGAGTGCTTGAGTTCCATCTTTACTATTCTTTTAATGTAATTATTTTCGTATGATGTGTGAGAGATATATTTTAAGGCCTTGAGATATGAGCTCGAAATGACATGTTTACAATATTTTTTTTATATTTAGCACTTAACACTTATGTCGCACTTAAACTAATTCACTCTTGATGGATGATATGATCACTTAGGTGGAATTAACTGGAGGTAATTGAAACTGACTATAAATATGAGAATAATTTACATTTTCTGAAAAATTATCATTCTTTCATAGAAAAAGGTGTCTTGTGCCTTTTAATAATGAAATACCTTCACTATGGCAAGTAAAACTTCATGTATATTGTAGTAGCAGTTATAGTGCTCTACACCTTCCAAGTTCTTTGTAAGAACTAAATGTTAAATCCTTACAACAGCTCTAAAAGTCTAAAAATATTATCATCTCACCTCTTTAAATGGGAAATCTGAGAGAGCCGTAAGTATTTTATCCATGGATTCAGTATTAGCACCAAAATTATAACTCAAGCATTTCTGTCTCCTAGTTTTCTCCTTAAACCATTAGATCAGTCATCACATTTAGCTCCAACAATAGAGCACAAAAACAATCTTTAGAACCTTAAGCTTCGAAATATCTTTCAAAATAAAGGTGGGCCCCCAACTTGCAACACGATTGGTTCCTGGGGAAGTGTCGCAAGTCGGGGGCATCATAACTCGAACCCTCATTTACTATAGGCTCCGCATACCATTGTTAAAGCAGGACGAGGATGTAAGTTGGGGGGTTTCGGCTCCTTCCACACTTACAAAAGTGGTTGTAAGTTCAGGGGGTTGCAACTTGGGTGGGCGGAAGTTGGAGGTTTCCTGTATGCACAATGAAGTTAACCATGATACATCAGAATGGCCGTACTGGGTCAGAGCACCTAGCTCAATATCCTGTCTTCTGACAGTGGCCTATGCGAGGGGAATGAACAGAACAGGTAATCATCAAATGATCCATCCCTTATCACTCATTCCGAGCTTCTGACAAACAGAGGCTAAGCACACCATTCCTGTACATCCAGGCTAATAGCCATTGATAGACCTATCTTCCATGAATGTATCTAGTTCTTTTTTTAACCCTGTTATAGTCTTGGACTTCACAGCATCCTCTAGCAAGGAGTTCCACAGACTGTCTGCGAGTTGTGTGAAGTATTTTCTTTTGTTTGTTTTAAACCTGCTACCTATTGATTTCATTAGGTGACCCCCTAGTTCTGTTATGGGACGGAGTAAATAGCTCTTCTTTATTCACTTTTTCCACATCAGTCATGATTTTATAGACCTCTTAGTAATCTCTTTTCCAAGCTGAAAAGTCATAGACTTATTAATTTCTCCTCATATGGCAGCCATTCCATACCCCTAATAATCTTTTCTGAATTTTTTCCAGTGCCAAGATATCTTTTTTTTTAGATGAGGGGACCACATATACACATCTGAGATGTATCTAATTTACATTTAAATCTTCATTTTCTAGTTGGATTAAAACACCATTCTTTCTTTCTCTAAGCCTGCAATATATATATTCATGAAATGGGTTTCCAGACATTTCTTTTTGTGTGTACAATAAATCCCATACTGGATCTGGTGCCTTTTTAAATGTCTGAACAAAAAGAGTAGAAACAGAGTTAGAAACCTTTGCTTAATAAATTTTCCTTTAAGGTCATTAGTTCGGATTAAAGCTTGATTTGCCTTACTTCATTTTTACTTTATTTTGGTTGTGCTTGTGTGTGTGATAGTGTGTGTAGCAAATAGCAAAATTAGAATGAGATATTTTGTTTCTCTTTAAAATATTTTGGTTTAACCAATATACAGACAGCATCAATGGCTTTATTTCATAATATAGCTACTGACATAGTAGAGAGACTTATGTTTCAATTTATCATGCCACTCTTTGGAGAAGAAGTAAGGCTGTGCCTTGCACCCAAAAAGGTCAAATGAAGCAATTCAGAACCAAGTAATAACAGGTCAACTTTCAACTCCCTTTGTTGTTTGATGTTTTCAAATGCCTTTAATCTTTGCTTCCTACCAGCTGCTTTGAATAGATCAGTTGGGGTCCACTCTTCCTAAGAAAGCAGGAATTTTTATTGCAGATTACTGCACAGTGGAGCAGTTGCCACCAGAACCATTAAAACCTTCTGACTGGTATTTTACAGGGGATCTTCCCATTTGCTCAGCTGTTGGTGAATTCATCAACAAACGTGGGATTCCAGAGGCAACGATGGAGCAGAAATCCAGTCCTGAAATGCAACGCAAGTCAATCACAAAAGTGCCTCTTTGCTTCAGAAAAATGCACAGGATGCTGTGTACATGCAGAGATGGCTGGAAAGCATATTACAGGCAGTCTGTGTTTTTAGCAGGCTTGGGTTTAGCCTTCTTGTACACCACAGTGCTTGGCTTTGACTGTATCACTACAGGGTATGCCTACACGCAGGGGATCAGTGGCTCTCTTCTCAGCATACTCATGGCTCTTTCTGCCTTCTCAGGACTAATGGGCACAATTTTGTTTACTAAGCTAAGAAAGCGATATGGCTTGGCTGTCACAGGAATCGTATCCAGCCTCCTCCATGTAAGCTGTTTAATGCTGTGTGTGTTTTCAGTCTTTGCCCCCGGCAGTCCTTTTGACTTGGGTATTTTCTCTCTTCTCACAAGTAAGAACTCTTCCTTAAACCACGAGACACTGCAAAAGAACCAGCTGCATATTTACCCATTCCAAAGAAACATCAACCAACCCATACTGCCAGATCGTTCTTCAATTCATTGGACTAATAATACAGTGCTGTTGGACAGCGTGCATGGGGGTGATCACCCAGAATCCTATATTTCAATCATTCTCTTGTTCTCAGGAGTGATACTAGCCAGAATTGGTAAGTACATATGCAGTTTGCCGCCACATGTAGAGTCATTTCATTGGGTAAAATATTATATGAACAAAAAGCAGATGTGATGATCGCTCTTTCATAAAGCCCTCATGATCATAGCGTTGAATGTCTCTCAGTGTATTTATTCTCACCAAACCCCTGTTCGAGAGAGCAGTGCTATTATTCCTATGCCACAGATGGTGTTGGGGCTCTGGGCAAAGGTAGGCAGGACTAGTGGAAGAAGCTTAAGAGTCAAAATCTGAAGCCAGGCTTGCAGCCTGTATCACAATCAAGAGTCGAGCTGATGGTCAAAGCCAGAGTCTGAGTCAGCAGGCAAGCTGAGGGTCAGAGCTGGAGACAGAGTCAGGATTTGGATAGAGGGTCAATACCAGATATCAAAATCAGCACTGGGTTTCTGGGGGGTTGATTGGGATTCAGAATCTAAGTAAGAGCCAAAGTCAATACCTGGAGTTCAGAAGCAGGGCAATCATGGCAGCCAGCTAGGCCTCCATATTGTTGTCTGGACACTTTCTGGTGTGCCTTAGGGTTTATATAAGGCACAGGAGCCAATGTGGGATCATTAAGACAACTGCCAGTTGCATCACTTGAGGTGGGATTTCCTGTGTGGTTGTGCAGCCTCTGCAAATTGTAGATCACAGCTATTCTCACATGGCAGTATGTTGGTTATCCTGAGCCTGCAGGGCACCAGCTCAAGTACTACTGATCCTTACATATGGAGAACTAAAGCACAGAGACTAGGCTGCAATCAAATCATCATCTCCAGCCAGCAGAATAGCACCCTAACCACTGGTTACATGCTAGCAATGCATTAGCTTTTTAATTATATATATAAATTGTTGATACTAATTTACTTATGCCGCAACCTTCATAATTAAATTAAGATGTGGGACAAATGTATAGTACAGGCTTGGGAACCAAAATAACCAGGAACAAAATCTCTCTAATCTAACCTTCAGAACAGAGAGAATCATTTCAGCAAATGGATATTCCGCTGGCTTCCAGCCAGTCCAAAAAAAAACAAACAAACCCTGTACATGAAAGCGCAGAAAGTATAACAGCAGTTGTGCCAGATTGCTGTATGCTTAAATATGTGAATAGAAGAATTAGTTATTAATACTTAAGGTAAGAAAATTCAGTAATTTTAATATGAATCTCTTCATAGGTAGCACCATTTCACAAGCAAAGGTTTATAATGAGCGAGAAAAGTGTTGAGGCTTCTAAAGAGATGCCATTTGGAATGAAGTCACCTTTTGATAATATTTTCAAAAAGATTATCCTGTTTTTCTGTTAGTGACTGTACAAGTACACGCATACTTAATTTTCTCTAGGGCTGGTGGAAAGCAAGTGGCGAATTAAGGATCCTTAGCATGTTGGCATAGCTGGCACCAATTTTCAGTGCCTTGTAATTGTATTTCTGCTTCACTATTCAGAATCTTATTTTTAAATATGAATACAAAGTAGGTGATTTTGTGGTATAGGAATTTTTGTTGAACATAGCAGCTGTACATGGAGCTGCCTTATAAACATGATTACAGGCAGTCCCCGACTTACGCGGATCCGACTTATGTCAGATCCGCACTTACGAACGGGGCTTTTCTCGCCCCGGAGCTCACGGGCGGCGGGTCGCCGCCCGTGTCCTCCGGGGCGAGAAAAGCTTCTCCCGGTCTCCCTGGTCTGCTGGGGGGGGGTCCAGAAAAGTCGCTGGACCCCCCCAGCAGACTAGGGGGACAGGAGCAAAGCCGCCCAGGCGGTGGGGGTTCCGCT